GGACCTCGCGATCACAAGGACGGAATAGCCAACCATAGCAGTGCCAGCATTGGGAGTGCCTGGAATGACAGGTAGTCCCCCTGCTGCCTCCAAAAAGTTAAATAAAGATTAAAAACAGTTTAAAATATAATATATACTTAGATCATATATATATATGATATATGATCTAAGTGTGTATATATATATATACACTTAAACATACATACACATACCCCGTCTAAGTGTATTTTAATATTAATATATATATAATTTTATATATATATATATAAATATCAAAATACACATAGAATGATATTAAAGTTATATATATACATATATAATTATATATATATATATATATATATATATATATATATATATATATATATATATAAAAGAAAAAGAGATCCTGCACTCCATCAACTGCAAAGGAATTCCAATGCCCGGTGCTTGTCCAGCACAATATAGAAAGACAAATAGGATAGCACTCTCAGGACTATATGGGAAAAATAAAACTTAACCTTTAATAGCTTAGTCCAAAAATCAACGTTTCAGTCTGTTAATACCAGACTTTCATCAGGATTGATGAAAGTCTGGTATTAACAGACTGAAACGTTGATTTTTGGACTAAGCTATTAAAGGTTAAGTTTTATTTTTCCCATATAGTCCTGAGAGTGCTATCCTATTTGTCTTTCTATATATATATATATATATATATATATATAATAACCTAAATAAAAATATAAATACATTAAAAATGAAAAATAAAAAAACAAAATAAATAATTCAAAAATATATGTGTAATTTTGTTCGAACTGTATTTTGATATTAATATATATATATTGATATCAAAATACACTTAGAATTAAATAATATGTATATCTATATACATAAATATATATGTATATATATATATATATATATATACCTATATATAAATAAAAATAATTTGAAAAAATTATATATATATATATATATATATATAATTAAAATCTACGTATATATTTATGTAATATTTTTACATAATTAAGTCATTTTATTAATTACAATTTGCAGGACCTGCCTGATAACCCAGGCAGAAAGTCCACAGAATTTAATTTGCTAGCACTATATCTAACCCTGTAACTCTCCAAGACACCATAAAACCTGTACATGGGGGGTACTGTTTTACTCAGGAGACTTCGCTGAACACAAATATTAGTGTTTCAAAACAGTAAATGTATAACAACAATGATATTGAAAGTGGAGTTTTTTGCATTTTTCACATACAAACGGCACTTACACTGACGATATAATTGTTGTGATACGTTTTACGGTTTTGAAACACTAATATTTGTGTTCAGTGAAGTCTCCTGAGTTTAACAGTACCCCTCATGTACAGGTTTTATGGTGTTTTCAAAAGTTACAAAGTAACTTTGGCTAGTGTTTGTGACTAAGTGGCTACTAAAAAAGACTGGACATACCCCATTTGCAATATCTTGTGTTTTCTACTATTGCAAATGGTATGCCATCATGGGGGTAATTCTCATTCCTGGGCTACCATACGGTCTCAAAGGCAACGTAACCAATATGGCGAATTTCAATGTGAAAACAATGAAAAATGTAACATGCTATATTTGACCCTGTAATTTCCCAAAACACGATAAAACCTGTGCATAGTGGGTACTGTTTTACACGTGAGGCATTGCTGAATGCAAATATGTGTATTTTATTGCAGTAAATGCACAGTATTATGACATTCACAGTTAAAATGTCATGCAGAACTAAAATAAATTACATTTCTTAATTTCTCTTTTTAAGAAAAATATATATTTAATCATATAAAATTATGTTTCCTAGCTAAATATTTTGATGTTAAATGAAAGCCCTATTTCTCCTGAATACAATGATATATAATAACTGTGGGTGCACTTAATATGAATGAGGTGAATTATGGTTGAACAGACACATAGTCAAATTCCAAGTTTTGTTTACGTTTTATTTTGATCAAAACGTGTACATTTGGCTCAGTCCTTAGAGGGACATTCCAGGCACCCAGACCTCTTCTGCCCATTGGAGTGGTCTGGGTGCCAACTCCCACTACCCTTAACCCTGCAACTGTAAATATTGCAGTTTTCATAAACTACAATATTTACATTGCAGGGTTAACTCCTCCTCTAGTGGCTGTCTACTAGACAGTCACTAGAGGGCACTTCCTAGTTTATAGCACAGGTTTTGTGAGGACCTCCAGCGGCGCTAAAATCCCCATAGGAAAGCATTGAAAGCATTTTTAATGCTTTCCTATGGAGAGGTCTAATGCGCGTGCGCGGCATTGCTGTGCATGCGCATTAGGTCTCTCCCGCCGGCGGCCGCGCATGCGTAATTTTTCTCCCCTGCTGTATGAAGTCATCGGCGCTAGTCTCAGGTAAGTCACTGAAGGGGTTCTAACCCCTTCAGCAACTTGGGATGGGGGATGGACGGGAGAGGGGACCTGTAGTGCCAGAAAAACAATTTGTTTTCTGGCACTGGAGAGTCCCTTTAAGGGGTTAATCTGATTTGTATAAAGTAATTCCATAGATTAAACAACTCAGCACATAAAGCAGTTTTACATTGAAAGAGTAAATAGTAGCACTTTTATAAACCTACTAGGAGGAAAGCATTGACTCAGCGGTAGTATGTGCAGCGTTGCTTAATGGCAGTATTAGCCCTGCAATGTAAACATTTAAGTTTCTCTAAGGGAACAGAAAAGCTGCATCTACGCCACTTCACTGAGATGATGTGGTGTGGGTGCGTATAGTGTCCCTTTAACTGCCTTGTTCAAGTGCATTGAAAAAAATGTTGTTGTTTTTTTAACTTGACTTTCCCATAAATAAAAAGGTCCACTGTTTTTAGTCTAACAATAAGATTAATTTCATGTTATAAATCGACTTTGTACAAATTTCCTGATTTTAAACTAACATGTTTATTAAAAAAGTAATGTATAGATCCATATTGAGAACTCCTTCCCTCCAACCCTCTTGCAACATAAAAAATCCTGTCTAGTATGTTCTAACATTATTACTTACAAATGCTAGATGCACAAACCAGAACAAATACGTATAAAAAAAGCTGCTGTTAAAACTTCATCAATAAAACATCTGTTAAGTTTTTTAGTTTTTTTTTTATAATTTGGATCTGGTTTGTTTCAAATGCAAAATATATGAAGGGATTTGTAAGGAAATTATGGCCTATTTAATTTACAATATGCTTTAAATTTGTTGAGTTTAAATTCAGATGTCACCGTTGTGATGGTGTTTGGTGAAAACCGCAATTGCTGAACAGTTAAAATAAATAATGCATGTGTTAATTGATTAATGAAATGAGCACAAACAAATCTCAGAATTACTCCACTGTATATTAAATTAGTTAGAGGTGTTTGGAATAACAGGGTGCTCCCTCTTAACAAATTATTGCATAAATAAATACCACATTGGCTTAGCTGCAGCAAAATTCACAGAACTTGAAGGTTAAATGCATTATGTGCTAGCTCAGTATGATTATAAATCTGACAGGTGTGACACTTTCAAGAGAAAAAGAAAAAATATATATAAATTTGTAATTAAACATGTTTTGCAAAATGTATAGATTTTGCCCAGGTTCCAGATTTTCTCGAACAGACAATAATAAGCCACACACGGGGTCTGTAGGCACGCAGCCTTAGTTCATAGTCCTGCATTGTGCTGCTAATTTATTATTGTACATATCTGCCTTATGTCTATTTAGCATCCATTTGCAAACTGTTGTTTGATGACAATTTATTGCATCAATCTGCAATTTTTAGGGTTGAAACTTAATTTGCAAACAATTCTGCTTCACAAAAGTCTAATTCACAACAAAAATCTAAGCTAATTTTTGATTGCCCGCAGTCTTTTTTTTTTCTTCATTTATTTTCACGCAAATCGCTCTTCCGTTTAAAGTGACATATTTATCGAAACTTCTACAGCCTTGTATGGTCCCCTGAAAAGCACATGCTTATTGCAGCAAATGGCACGCAAATACGCCCGTGACTAAAGTTCTTTATGTGAAATGTGTTAACGTTTTGGGGTTTTGGCGTCCCTCCTTTTGCCTGCCTTTTCATTTTTTCTTCTTGTTCATCTTGGAAAATGTACTTCTTTAAAGGAACACTCCAGGAGCCATAAACCCATTAAAGAACCGTTTAACTTACCTCCAGTCCACTGGTTCACCGGTCTCGGCTTAAATACCAACAATAATAATAATGTGGAGCTGGGAGCTTCTGTTAGCTTTACTGAGCTAATCCCAGGGCCAGTTCACTCAGCAATTGATCTATCTCTGCACTGCTTGACTAACGTATTGCAGAGAGCTCTCGGCGTCAGAGGGAAGAGGTTACTGGTGGACCCCAGGTAAGTTGTCAAACTGTTTGACTACTTACCTTAAACGTGAAACAGGGTACTCATGTCACCATAACCACTACAGTGTGCTGTAGTGCCATTGGAGTGCTCCTTTCAGCAACAAGCTGGAACTTTTTTGGCCACAATCATTTTGTTGCTTCCCACACTTTATCTGTATATGTCAGATAACCAAGAGTCTCCTGGGTTCTATGATGTATTAGGAGTGAATAGGGTACATGTATATGTCTTCTGTCTGCACTATGGAGCTTGCCACTAATTACATAATGGCCACTGTTTGCAATGTTCCAAGATGTGATCATGGATTTCAGTAAAAAAAGAAAACGTCATGTATGTCTCCTGTTCAGGTACACCACTAGTTATGTGACATTATGTCAACTTTTTATGTTGTCCAGCTTTTGTTATTGTCTTACCTATTGTACAGTGCTGCAGAATATGTTGGCTCCAAATAAATAATTGTAATTGTTATTAGGTTAAGAGTGCACTGCCTTTAGAATGGTTAATCTTCAATTCACTCTTCACAAACAGTTGCGACCTAAAGAGTTCTGTGATTTTGTGGTTCGGCTGTAGGGCTCCATAGTTATGTTTGGGGGCAAAATAACTATAGAATAGAAGTGGTATGGGTAGGTGTGATGGTCAGAATGGGCACATTCGCAATGGCTCTTTGCCAGTATCCACAGAGACCTGGAATTTATTTACAATACTAAAGTTGCCAGTGAACATTCCCATGGACAGTTGCAGTTGTGTGATGCGTTTTTGTGTTGAGCTTTCTTTAGCAAGTTGTGTTGTGCCCTGGGGTCCAGTGTTGGTTTCTACCAGGCTGTAACGATGCACTAGCCACCTAAAAGGGGTCCAACATTCTAAGTGACCCACGTACAGCAGTGAGAACCTGTCTGGTCTCCCATTCTCTGCTCTCCAGCTTATAGCAAGTCGTAATCCTTGTTCTATTCACATAAAACACATTACCAGATCAGCAGAGCCATGGGCTATTTTGATAAATTACTGAATATTCACAGCCCCCTTATTATCATGCAAACCCGCTGTAACTACTCTGATTTTCTATTTAAACATGGGATCTTTCCAGCTCTTTATTGAGTGAACCGCTCACATTCTATGCCTGGGTCAGCACTTGATAAATAGGCTTTACTGACCAGGCATAAAATTGAAGTAATTGCCACATTGGTCAGTAAACAAGTGAAAAAGTATGATAAATACTTCTGAATGGTCGTACAATAACAGTGGTACCTATGGAAGTGGAATTTGCAGCCCAGACAATGATCGATGCTCTCTTCCAAGCTTCTATGGTTTCAGGTTTTTAACTGAATCTTCTTAATGCTTTTTTCTACTCATTACCCAAGGAACCGATTTTTAACCTTTTCAGTAATCTGTTGGCACTCTGGGACTCTACTGTATTTCTGTCAAAATGTCTGGTCTATAACAATAAATTTTACACTGATGTCTTGCTTTTCAGGAATAATTACGGTGCACCTTAAATGTTAGGCCATTTTCTACTTGTGCAAAAGATGACAATAAAATCAATGAGACACAATCCTCAGAAGAACATCAGAGACTATTGGAATGTTAATGGAATAGTGAGTCCACTGAATGGCACATACATTCGTCTGTGTTCCCTTCAATTGTTCGCCTCTTGCACTTTATTTAACCCTTGTTTTCCTGCAGCAAGATGTTTAATAACCTGCTGAAAATTACGTTACTGAGCATTACATAGGCCGATACATCCCTTTGGAAGTTACGCCTAGGGTTCCAACAGCTCGATCGGTGGTCGGACATTAAAGGAGAGCTAAGACCACAGGTCTTCTTGTTTCAATACAACAAAAAGAGGAGTCAAAAACTCAACAAAGCGAGCAGTGGCTGTTGTATAGAGAGCAGGCTGCTTGTGTCTGTGACCACTGTATGCAAAGCTTGGCATTAGTCACCGCCAAGCCTTCTCTGACAGCCCTGAAGTGAGGGAGATTAATGTGAAGCAAGGGCACTTTATTATTGTCATTCTGTTCGTTCACACTCTGCCTCTGACTTTCAATTTTGCTCCAGAATTAATTGTCTGCTCCCTACAGTATGACTAATGTCAAAGGGAGAGGTAGCCTAGGCACCTGGCTCTGGCCTTGACGATGTCAGCCATTGTTCCAGGATGTATTCTGTACCAAGGTATTCAGGGACAGACTGGCATCTTTCAAAGAAATCATTTTGTGTTTCTTTTGACTTAAGTCAGGAATCAACCATCATTGTACTTGGCCTAAAAAAAACTCAGTAGTTTATGACGTTATATTGTTGGTTTGGCTCTGAGATCTGGTTCCAGTAGACAAATATATTGATTGTTTTTTTCATAGCTCTTCCAAGATGGAAACCGACTGTTCCCATGCCTTGTGTGGGAACCAGAATTTCAAACCTACACCATATGATGATTGTATAATTAAGGTTTTCTAGATAAACATTGGCTTTCATTTAAACATTAATAAATATCTGCTTATCCCCCTTGTATCTTTGTTGGAACGTGTTCAGACAGGTGCAGGATACAGGAAGTGTTTTATTAGAGCGTCCAAAACACAGGGGACACAACATATTCTAATTCAGATTAGCTACTATAGAATATTAGAAATAGACCATAATTCCTTGTGAAATTACTTTATTTTCTTTTACAGCTAAACATAATGTTTTTTTTGTGTGTTCTGTTAATGTAAACTTTCTTTCACTCTGGTCATAGGTCAAATTTACTGAAACACAGCAGGCCTTTAAAATATAAAAGGGTTAAAGGGTTAAATGAAAATAAGAAGCAAAGACAGATTCAGCATGTATTCTTGATAATTCTAGATTGTCATACAATCACTGATTGTTAGCTCTTAAACACACACACGAGTGTCAGTGAACACACTGTGACGACAGACAAGAAAATTTATTTTTAATACAAATTAAATTTTTTAATATTGAAAGCTAAATATTTGGTTGTGTTCATTGTTCCAGTTCTGTAAAATCGTTGCATTGTGCTTTTGTTAGAATACATTTTAAATCTGAATTCCACTATATTTGACAATATAATTTTACAAAAGTATACATTTATCATTTTGTTCTCACCATCTCCAGGTTGATGATGTGAGCATATGTACAAACATCTCAACACATTACAACGCTTCTATTATTGTGTAGATGAGGTTATTGTGAGCCATTTTCGGAATGAGATGATACTGAAACCTTTGCAGATATTAATCCATCCATCATGTAGAGTCTACATGGCAAGTTACCATATGTCAACTCACTGATCTCAAACCTTCAAGGGAGCCATACCAAAGTCAAGGGAATAGCTCTCAATATTTAGGATGGCTGCCGTGTGATGCTTGTAGGTGTTGCCTACAGTAAGTGTACATCACCCACCTGCATATATTGCACCTATGCGGTATATTGTTAGCTCTCACCAGTGTACAGGATACTGGATGCATCATGTAAAACCCATTGTGGGGGTTAAATCAGTAATGTTATGCTAGGAATATAAACATGGGAGGAAAGCAGCCTGTACTTGATTACCTTAATTACCTGCATGCTGCTGTCATCACAGTGACTGTGAGAATGTATAGCTAAAAATCCCACAATGGCTGTACAAACCAATGGTATGTTCCACTTTCAGCATGTTGCCGCAAAGAAGTGTTCTTTGTTCAAAAACCACGCCGTTTCAAACTCGGAGCAGTGTTAGAGCTCTTGTTCTGCCGGAGCACCTTTGTCGTACTATAATTTCATCAATACATTCACTTGCTGTAAGATCTATGCAATCCTGTACTTAGCACAACCCCTGCTTACCTGTGGAACCTGTTTCAGGTGACTATAGCCTAACTGCATCTACGCTTCTTGCTACCATTAATAAAGTATGTTTCACAGATATGGAACTACTGGCAGGGCAGCAGGTGCGACTGCCCAGGGCTCCGGCAGGTGAGGGGGCCCGTCGGCCATTTCACAATATATGGCATGGCCGGTAGTTCCACAGTGCAATATAGAGAGGGGCTGGAGCCAGAATTGCTGGTGCCCTGGGAATATTTATTACTCTTATTACATATATATTGTGCACCCTGCAGAATGGAGAGCTGGACTCAGAGATAGGGTGAGTGTGTGTCAGAGTATGTATCTGTGCATATATGTTGAAGATGGGTAAATAACAGATTCACAGATGGCCAAGAATTGTGGGAGTTGTACAGTAGATGTGGCTCTACCTTCTGGCTACCTCTGCTCTTTATGAGGGCTCAATAAATGTAATGCGCCAGGGTCCTATCTGTATTAGTTCTGCCACTGTGTACATGTACTGTGTGTGAGTGAACATCTATGTATCTAATATTTGTCATGCATATGTAGTTCCGGGACCAGTGATAACATCTGACTGCCCCTCCTCCTCACAACCCTTGTAAGCCTCTGCCTAAACACATTCTTGCCGGCCGATAGGTAAATAATAACTTTATTTATAACTACAGGATACAGACAATTTGTCAGAGGAGATTGTGTGGTGATACTTTGGTACTTCTAGCATAGTGAGCACATTTTTTGCAGTGCTGAGAACACATTGCGTACTGCCCCTCTACCTTTCAGAACATACAGGAGATTATCTGAAGCAATCACCTATGCAGTAACATTTAAAGAAACTCAGTCTAACAGTTGGATTTCATTTATTTCATCCGTCAACCAAACTGCACAGCTAACAATGTGCAGGCAGCAAATCTGCAGATGTTTTTTTTTTTTTTTTTTTTTCATTTGCCTTGTTAAAGACTTTCGATTTTACCACTGAAAACCATTCTGGAGTTTTTCAAATCAAGTTGTTGAACAACAAGGCATAATATCCTTCAAACTTGACATTAAATATTCAAAAGTTAGTTTAGGAAAGTGCAAGCAATTAAATGAATCAATCTTCCAGGCCATGTACTGAACAGATGTTCAATAAATCCTTTCTGCTTACAGAGGGGGACAGAGAAGTCCACTTTTAGCTGTCCTTCACCAAGACATCTTTCGGCTTGTCCTTCCTCCTGTCCTCCTGGGCCACAGAAAGGCAGTTCTGCTGTGTTGTTTCTTTATTATAAATAACAGGCCACCTGGACTACCTGCTGCACCTGAAAGCCGGGGCTTAATGATCCTTCCGGCGATATCCGCGGCTCTCTGATCCCACATAATGGGACTGATGGGAATGGCAGACGAGTGACGGCTGGCGTTGACGAATGGCTCTTTCCCAACATGTGCTGACAACCAGTGAATATAGGGCAGCCTTGCAGAAAGGTCAGGATAAATCGCACTGGTCTGACTTTCAAAGTTTGTTTCCACTGGAGATCAAAATTGTAAAAAAAAAGAAACCAAAATAGAAATAGATGGTTTTTGTTAATGGCTGCAAAGACAAAACAGAGAAATCATTTTGCTTATCTGTTCTCTTACACCTGAATGGTTAAGCTACCCCCCAAAAACTGTGCCATGTGATTTAAAAAATAAAATTAATAAATGCACGATCACATCTGAAATAATGCATTTCCCAGCAATAAATTGTGCAAAATGAAACATTTTTAACGTAGGTGCTAGTACAGTTCATTATAGTTTTTTCCTACTAATTTTATGTATCTGTATCCCTTTAAAACGATCATAAATAAATAAAAAAATTAAGTAGCTGTATTTTTTTCTAAGACTCCCCATAACAGTTTTTGTAGAGCTTCTTGAATACGTTGACCCACACAAGGCCCGTTATCCCGAACAGAAGACCCGTGATTGATTGCTTTATGTGGCTCTGTGTGTTCAGCAGCCACTGCATAAAATCTTATATTCTGTGTTTTGTTTCTCTGAACTGTTTTATGTCCTAAACATTTGGATGTCAGTGGGGCATATGTCAGCAGCCATGGACTACTATCAATTCATACTGATTCATCCATCAATTTTATGATAATCTCCATCATTATAGTAAATTCGTTTTTTTTTTCTTTCTTTTTTTCTCTTCCCCTTTCAGTGCAGTCTAAGCAGAATAAACTACGGCACGAAGAGCTAATGACTGTGAATGTCTGCGCCGCACTCGTAATATACAACTTTAACCTTTGAATTCTGCCAGCCCAAATATGGACTTTATCCACTTTTTAATGAGGCCTTAAAATTTTCATGATTAAGTTAGTATTTTACATCGAACAGATAGCTTGACATGTTGTACAACGTCTGAGATGGCTGATCTTTAGAAATTTACCATAAGCATGAATCTGTTAAAGTTTATTATTTTCTCAAAACCTTCACCTGAGCACGGGTGTCGTGTCTTAAAAGATGCACAATCCGAAATCCCATTTGCGTTGTGCTTTGCAATTTTCACTCGTTGTAGAGGGGCAATTTTTCCCCAGGTTCACCGTAGAGAGGACTTGTGTCATTAAAGGAGACCTGATACCTGGGGGTAATAAAAACAGAAAACTAGAGCACTAGATAATTTAAAAGCACATTTATTACCTGTCTCCTGTGCTTAAAATATTGTTAATTCCTAGCATTCCCCATGGACTGCTACTTTTGTATCCTTTGCATGTTGTTTTAGAACTGGTTCAGGACTCAGGAGACAGCTTGGGTCTCACATGTCTGCCCTTGACGTCTCAAACATAATCAGTTAGAACAAATGCTTTTAATACAGTTATCCCCCAAAATGATGTGATGAAAAGTTACAATACCGTTTTTTTGTGCTCTGTTGATTACTTTTGTTTTTACTTTGGTTATGTGCATGTTAACCCCTTCTTGCCACTAGGATGTTCCATGTTGTTGTGAAAATATTAGGCTTTAACGCCATGAGGACGGCATGGAACTTCCTCTAGTTTTGGTTGCGAGCAGGGATTAATCCCGGCTTGCACTGGGAATGCCTAGGTAGCAATTGATACCCGGGGCTTCCTTCTGTCAGCTGGGTCTATACTTAGTGACCCCCCGACTGATAGATGAGCTGTATGCTGTGATCAAAGTGAATGTTGCATACAGCACTTTATATCAATGCAGAAAGGGCAACCTTAGGCCTGGGCGGCAAATCCAGTCAAGTGGCCCATTGCACCACCATATCAGCTCACCATTCATGCCCACCTTTTCCTGGTTTTATAACTGATATTGATGTTATGCTAATCAGCAGCTCTTTGCCATACCCAATCTGCGGCGCCATTACACAGCGGCACTGTGACCTTTCTGAAACTCCGTTTCAGAAGCTGGTTCCTGCCGGGGGGCTTTAAGATCTAGGATAGGTTTAAACCCATTAAATTAATAGAGTGCACGGGGGGCTACAGGCACCATAACATCTTCATTTAGATTAAATTGTTATGGTAAACAGTGTTTAAAAATAACCAATATGTCTACATCTCACATAATCAAAAAAGTGTATATATTGATAGTTTTTTTTAATTATTTTACCTGGGATGATGAGAGGGTCCAAAGTCTGCAAGTCGGGTACCAAAGCCTCAGCCCAGTGTCCAGGATGAAGTGGAGGGAACACTTGTCCTCCACGTTGTCCTTCCTGCTCCAATCTCTTTTTCTTTGCCTTCTTCTGACACTGTCTTCTCCTCCTTGACTCCTTCTGCTCTCCCCTCATTTCCGTTTGCTCTCCTTCTGCTCTGCTCTACTTTCCTTCTCCTCTCCTTTTGCTTTGCTCTCCTCCTTTCCTTCTGCTCTCCTTTTCTTCTCCTCTCCTTTTGCTCTGCTCTCCTTTTCTTCTGCTCTCCTTTTGCTCTGCTCTCCTTTTCTTCTCCTCTCTTTTTACTCTGCTCTCCTTTCCTTCTCCTCTCCTTTTGCTCTGCTCTCTTTTCATTTTCTTCTCCTCTCCTTCTGCGCTGCTTTTCTTTCCTTCAGCTAGTCTCCTTCTCTCTTTTTCTTCTTTTCTCCTTCTTCTGGGCACTGTAGGCGGGGGAATGCAGGGAGGGGTTGCGTTGCAGTGTCATGTCATCGGCGTCACAACGTGCTCTGCAATTGGCTGGCAATCAACACTATCCGCGTTGCAACAAGACGTGGATTGGCAAATCGCCAGAAGGTTTAGCGTGCAGGAGGAGGGGACTGCAGCATGGATGGAACCCCTGTGGAGGGTTGTATCTTGTATTAGTAGCGCTGCGGCAGCTGCATGGAATGCTTTAATTATATTTTTGTACTGGGAAAGAATGCTGGCAGTAAGTTAATATTGGTGAAGCACTGCAGCTCTCTGATTACACGGTTTAGGCGGCTACGAGGCCTTAGGCGGCTGCCTAAAATCGCCTAATTAGAGAGTCGCCTCTGGCCAAGAGATCCGTGCAGGCAAGCAGGCAGAGACAGCGGATGTTTTTAACATGATTTAGGCAGGGCCTTCTTTAATATTGATTTGACCCCAGGCAAGCAATTGCTTTGGGCCCCCCTGAACCCCATAATTTTAGCATTTTAATAAAGGGGTGTGTTTGTATGCAATGTTTGTATTTGCATTCAGGGATTTGTTTGGACATAGTGTTGTCTTTTAAATGCAGATGTACATTTCTGTGTAGTATTTTTTATTTGAGTGAAGGGGTGTGTTTGTTCATAATTTTGGAGTTTGAATTCAGGGTGTCTTTGTATGTCATGTTTGTTGTTACAGGGGTGTGTTAGTATGTATGTGCATACATCCCAGCAATCAAACACAACATGCAAAAGATATACATACACATTAACATGCAGATAAACACATAATCACACTGATGCATGCACACACCTTGACACACAGATACAAACACCGACACAAACACACTGGCATATACACATATACCTAGCACATCCACACACAGTCAGATACATGCATACAAACACTAGCACATCCACACACATAGGTACACACTGACACAGATACGTACACACACCTCAGATACACACAGGTATACATGCAGGCGTGTATCTGTGTGCAGTGTTGGGATGCTGAGATGTATGCATTGCCACATACACACAGATGCCCACTTACCCAAACACTGAGATACACACAGGAACACAGGTACTCATGCAGTGGTGTATTTGTGTGCAGTGGTGTTGATGGAATTCAGGGGTATATTTGTGGGCAGTGTTGGCATTATAATGCTGTGATGTATGTATCGCCACATGCATACACACACACACACACGCAGGTACACATACATACTGACACACAAGTACACATACATAGACACAGGTATACATTCACACACACAGATACACATACACAGGCACACAGCCAGACACACACACACTGACTTACACACAAAGCCAGATACACACACTGACACACACACAGCCAAAAACACACTGACACAAACTCAGCCAGATACACACACAGCCAGATATACAGACTGACACACACATCCATATACACATAAAGTTATACACACACCGACACAAACTGACACAAACTCAGCCAGATATATAGACTGACATACAAGCCAGATACACACACATGAACACACACACAGACAAACAAACACTGCCAGGTACACACATTGACCCAGACCCAGGTACACAACATTTATAAGAATCAATTTACATATTAGATCCACCCTCCTGTCTCCTTACCTTTTGGGTACAGAAGGGTGGCTTCCCTGGGATCCAGTGGGAGCTGGATGGCCACGGCTGATGTGAAGCTGAGGAACCAGGCTTAGTCAGTCCCTCTCCTCCACTTCCTCATCCTCTCTGTGTGCCTCCTACTCCATAGCCAGATGCACAGCCCTCTCCTCTTTCTCTTCCTGTGTGTACCTCCTCCTTCCCACGAGGCTTGCTGTTACTTGGGAGGAAGTGATGTGATCTCACTCCCTCCCAGCAGGCCGCTGGGAAACAAACAGAATGATAAGAGTCTGGTCCGGAGCACTATTAAAGGGCCGGGACATCTGATTACCTCAGGTGTGGCTGCCAACCGGGATATTGCTCAGGATCCTGGTGGACTTGTCAGTATCCTGTTTGTGGGCAGGGGGCCCACAGGGCAGCTGCCTTGGGCCCCTTCAGAAGTAACTGACCTCAATGTTTGAGTATTCTACATTAGCTTTACATCTACACAACTTGCCCCACAGAGACACTGAACCATATGTTTCCATTCGGGGAAAGCTTTCTTAAAACCTCCCTCCTGTAATGAAATGTGTATACCTCTTCTACTTAGTGTTTTCTATACATCCAGCACCGATTCCTGTGTTCCATTTCAGATTCTTCAACCTTTCCCAAATCCTGATCTCTGCATTGCCCTTAAGTTTAACATTCTGGACATACTGCCTCAGCGCCAAACCCTCTTTTTCCATAAACATCTTAAAAAATATAATATATTTTATATACATCAAATAAATAAATATTTTGAATATATATATATATATATATACCTAGAAATCAAGCCCAAAACTTGCACTAAATCCTGTATTCTCCTCTATGTAACATCACCTGCAGACATAGCTTGGCCATACAGCAAGAGTAAGCCATCAGGAACACTGAAAATAACACACACAGGTTATAATATATGTAATCTTTTATTTGAAATAAAAAGGAATGATGATTTCCTGTAACAGCGTCCACATACCCAGACTTAGAAAGTCAGAGAGGTCTTCTTCTGCGTCCGGTAAAGGAAGCGGCAGGCATGCTGTCCTAGTGCGCACCTGCTTCCCCCTTCTCAACTAGTGATGTCGCGAACGTGAATTTTTCGGTTCGCGAGCGCGAACTTCCACAAATGTTCGCAAACACGACGAACCTGGCGAACTGCCATAGACTTCAATGGGCAGGCGAATTTTAAAACCCACAGGGACTCTTACTGGTTGAAGGGGGGGGTTGAGGAGACCTACTCTCCTCCCCCCCCGGGCCACGGGTGGGGGGGCCATAAAGATAATGAGGGGGGGACCTACTGTCCCCCCCCCCCTGCCCCCACCCCTGAGCGGTGGGTGGGGGCCCTAATAACAATATTGTCCCCCACCCGCAGCCCTAATAACCATAAGGGGGGGACCTATTGTCCCCCTCGGCCCCCACCCCTGAGCGGTGGATGGGGGCCCTAATAACAATAAGGGGGGGACCTATTGTCCCCCCCTGCCCCCACCCCTGAGCGGTGGGTGGGGGCCCTAAAATGAAAAATAAGGGGGGGACCTATTGTCCCCCCCGCGGTGGGTGGGGGCCATATTGATAATGAGGGGGGGGACCTACTGCGTCATTCCAAAGAACTTTCCCACGCTGTGTAAAATGACACAGAGCACTGTGATTGGATGGCTTAAACCCACCAATCAGAGTGTTCTTAGCGTAATTGCCGGGCGTGTCAAGGCTTTATAAGCCTTCCCCCGCCCTGCAGAGCTCAGTCTGCGCGGAGACCTCCATGGGTGAAGATGGATTATTTTTTTGCGCTCGGGTTTTTTCTTTTTCGTCGGGTTTTTTTATTTTGCGCTCGGGATTTTTATTTTATTTTCAATTCGACGGTTATGATGGTTTTTTATTTGGCCTTTTTTGGGGCTGAAAAATGAAGATTTGAGAAAAAAGAAGCCGTCGAATGGTAAGTTTACTTTTATTTTACAGGTTAGTTATTTTATTCCCCCCTCACTATTTTTTAGGGTGAGGGGGGTAGGTAGGGACTTTTTATTTGGGGGGGTGACTAGGGGCTTGGGGACCCCTAGTCACCTTGGGGGGGGGGAATTTACTTAGGGCCAGCGGTGGGGGCCAGGGGGGAGGACAGTAGGTCCCCCCCCTCATTATCTTTGTGGCCCCCACCCGCCGCCCAGGGGTGGGGGCCGGGGGAGGACAGTAGGTCCCCCCCTCATTATCTTTATGGCCCCCACCCGCCGCCCAGGGGTGGGGGCCGGGGGGGCAGTAGGTCCCCCATTATCAATATGGCCCCCACCCACCGCGCAGGGGTGGGGGCCGGGGGGGCAGTAGGTCCCCCCCTCATTATCAATATGGCCCCCACCCGCCGCGCAGGGGTGGGGGCTGGGGGGGCAGTAGGTCCCCCACTCATTATCAATATGGCCCCCACCCGCCGCGCAGGGGTGGGGGCGGGGGGGGACAATAGGTCCCCCCCTTATTGTTCATTTTAGGGCCCCCACCCACCGCCCAGGGGTGGGGGCTGGGGGGGACAATAGGTCCCCCCCTTATTGGTATTTTTAGGGCCCCCACCCACCGCTGAGGCTGCTCACTGTTTAATAGACATGCCCCTACTCGCGGTATTGCAAGTAGGGGCACAATTTACTAATACTAAGTAATTTTTACTTAGTATTAGTAAATTAATAGGGTGCGGACCGAACATCGCATATGTTCGCCGTCGGTGGCGAACGCGAACACGCTATGTTCGCCCTGAACTATTCGCCAGCGAACCGTTCGGGACATCACTATTCTCAACCTGTATTACAGCTTATTGAGTAGCGGTGGAAAGAAGACACCTCTGTCTACAGTATTGCCTGCACAGACAGAAAGTCTGGGCAGGGAAAATGGGAGGGCTTTCAGATGCAGCAGCGTTTGCAAGCTATTTATAGATGTCACCCAAATGAAAAATACAATCCTTAATGCATACATGTTTTCAGTGGGGACATACCTACTAAATAATAATTGTATTTTTGGTGGAGTGGAGAAATAGTGTTCCTACCTAGGGACTATTTACTAAATTGCTAATTTTAGAGAACTGATAAAAGGCCCTGTACATTTTAGACTAACATAGTTCAGTTGTAAAATATCTACCATGCATATAGATTAGCCTGTAATATGCAATTCACATTTACGTCATTTCTCCCCAAGTTTGTGTTAAATTAATCTGTGTATCGAGACATCACAATTACAAGCAAATGTATACACCAAGAGGGGAAAAAAAGGAGATTTGTTGTCTGCAGTCCATGCCGATTTTATCGCCAACAAAGTGCTTCCTGGGGATGTCCGTAATATGTGACGGTACAAACATTAAAACTCACTTTTCAATGTATTTTTATTGAACAATCTGACACAACAAAACATTTTTTTTGAAACAGGATTGCAAGCAATTAAAGTCCTTTTACACTTAATCTAAACCCTTTCTTGTGAACCGCATGGCATAAGGTATACATTCACCTTGTTAGCACCTACTATGCTGTCTGTGCCATTTTCACAGTAAATACTTTTAGGATGACAGTCGCTTTAATGTCTTCAGCAAGCCCGGCCAGATCACACACTGACCTTTTCCACTTTGGGGTCACTTGTACATCTGCATGTCGTTCTGTCTTACCAACCACAGAGAACATCCCTCCAATGTCTCCTCACACTGCTCTAATGTGAAACAAATGATTGCCGGAAGAACGGAGTGTTATCACCTTGGCAAACATCAGGAGTAGGGGGAAATACAGCAAAGGGTGTGCAGATAAATTAATCTTCCAGAACCATCAATCTCCCACCTTAGAAACACTATAACTAGCCAGCCAAAGGCCAAGATTTATAGGCATGGGGACGTTTTACGCTGACCAGCACACACCTACCCTCTTTGGCTGCCTCAATGACAGAATGGCTCTTTCCAACCATTATAATGATATAGAGCCTTTCCCTACTGTTTTACAAGTACATTAGCTTTATTTAATGAGATCTCAGAGTAATTTAACAGATGTATATAGAACACGCGAATAGGAAAAAGCCCTGCTACTTAAGTACTTTTGCCAAACTAGGCTATGGACGGACACAGTAATATACAAGACTGAGTGTTGATTACAGTGGCTCTCCTAATATAAAAATAAAGCATATAAAATCATTAAAGATGTTCAAGCTCAAACGGCAGAATGACTTTTATTGTAATAGCTTCAGTACTGCAACGCAGGGCGGCTGGCAAGGAAAGGGTGCTGTGTATTATGCAGGTTTTGAGCTTGAAATGGAGAATAAGCATTATGTTATGAGCCCCTATATTAATCCCTGTACGAAATGCACTCCTTGCAAATTAATAAAATGACCGAGATATATAGAGAAATCAATATATGATTAAATTATAAACATAAATGTGCATGTATATATGTGTGTACGT